GAGAGAGAGAGAGAGGGACAGAATCAAATAGGATCTTACGGCTGTATTTTATGGGGTACTTGAAATGAACAGTCAAGTGTTGTAAGATGAACGTTTTAGGGTTTAAAATCAATTTTTATTGTTCATCGAGGTGGATATTACGGCTCCACAGAGTCTCGAGTCTCCTATGAATGGTATATTATTTTCTTTGCACAAAATTTGAAAGAATATATTAGACTTCATATGCAGTCAATGGCACACTCTATAATAGTGAAATCTAAAATTTTTAGAAACAATCTTTCCAAGCACATGCATATGTATAAATACAGAAAAATTGCAGAAAGTGCATGTATGTATCCATAGGAACATGTGTTTATCTCTATGAATATAGAGCGAGGCAAGAATCGTGGAAACCTTAAGCTACTGGACTGAGGGCAACCTTTAAACATTGTCCATCGCTTGGGTGTTGCCAAAAAGAAAGAAGAATAAGAAAAAGAAAAAGAAGAGGGCTTATATGGTGCGTCTACATAATGGACATGAACTTTTGTGAGTCACCCACATGCCTATACACAGAGAGTGAAACATATGAGCGCACTGCAACACCTTCACATTCTCCACCTCTATTTTATCAAGGCATATTGCACACATTTCATTACTCTTCCCACCTTTCTCCTCCTCCTCCTCATCATCATCGTTGCTTAAAGCAATCTCCTCTTTCTTGTGGCTTGTTAAAGCAATTAGTGGCACAGGAACATGATTCTCTACCTCGTCTCTCCATGTCCTCAACACCTGGGCTCTACTGCGGTAGTAGAGCCGAATTTGCTGTTCGCAAATGGCATTGAGCTCTTCATAGTTATCCTCCACTCTTCTATGAGCTTCACGAATTTCTTCAAGGGTCAACAACATTATGTTTTCCATCTTTTTAACTGGAAAAGGCCGTTAATGGATCTCTATCGAGAGCATGGGAATCTATAAAGACGTAGAAAAGATCAAGAGAAGAATTTGTAATAATATATTCCAAATTCTTTTTCTCTCTCTCTTGTTGAACAATAATCAATCTATATTTATTACATTCAAAATCACATTCTCTCTCTCTATAACGATATTTTCTTTAAAAAAGATAATTATCTCTCTTTCTCTCTCTCTATATCAAAAAAAATCTTTTTTTTTAGAAGATAATTATGTTTTTCTCTCTCTATCAAACGATCTTTTCTTTGAAAACATAATTATGTTTTATGTTGATTTACAAATCTTTATTTATCTTAAACTAGCGTAAATAGGCTTTAACTCGGATGGGCGTGAAAGATTTGTACATTTAAAGATAAAATGCATAATTTGTTATTTTTTTGTATTTCTTGAAAACATTTGTATTTTGTGGAGAAAAGAAAGGAAAAAATTCAAAGAAAATAGGAATGCTTTGATATTTATACGTGGTAGATCATCAATATCATGAATCCAAGATTCGTACATTTTTTTTGGGAATGGGTTGAGGTCATGGTGGTAGCACTGGTCGTTCGAAAACTGCTAATTATTCTAAAAATGAGTAGGAGCTTGTATTGCCCACTAATCTACCCCTAAAAAAAAAATTATACCACAGAATTTAATAAGTACTCATCATCATGATCGTCATTATGACTTTATCGCAATTATTTAGGGTTAGGTAATAACTAAAAAGTATACAATTTACTAATAGGCCATTATCTTTTGTTAAAAAGAGGTTACAAATTGTTCCTAGCCATTGGATATCAAATTGGATGGCTATAATTACATACATAATACTACATTATAATAACAATAATAATACAATGAAAAAGTTAATATAAGGATGCTACCTTATAATGTAGAACTACGGATGCCCCTCAAAAATCCATCGGAAAAGGTAGTTTTAATGTTGAAAAAATTCAAAAAAGGTTAAAATCAAGTTGATCTATAAACATATGAAAATCTTGAAAATGGACGGTGTAGATAATATGTTGTAAAATGCACTATTTATGAGACTTAAAATCTTTTTATTTTTCATAGTCATGCATCTCAATGTCGAGATGATCAAT